AAAAAAAAAGAATTACGCATTTCGGACAGGCATGGTGGCTCACGTCAATAATCCCAGTACTTTGGGAGGCTAAAGTGGGTGGATCACCGGAGGTCAGGAGTTCAAGACCAGCCTGGCCAACATGGCAAAACTCTGTCTTTACTAATAGTACAAAAATAATTCCACACCTGGAATTACAGGTGTGCATACCATAGCTGGGCATGGTGGTGCACACCTGTAATTCCAGCTACTCAGGAGGCTTGAGACAGGGGAACTGCTTGAACCCGGGAGGCGGAGGTTGCAGTGAGCTGAGATTGTGCCACTGCACTCCAGCCTGGGTGATAAGAGTGAACTCTGTCTCCAAAAAAAAAAATAAAAAGAATTGCACGTCTCACTCTTCTTTAACATTGGCTTCATTTGAATTTTGCCCTCCACTCCAAGAGCCCTCAGATGCCTGGGCATGACCCAAACTTCCTTCTGCCTCCAAATCCCCTCCCTTCCTTTCCTGCCTGACCAAAGAGATCCTAGATTTCCTCCCCTGCCCCCAGGTCAAGAGTACAATCAGGGCTGACAGCCTACAACCCTGCATATCTAAAGTATATGGTTGGTCTTCTGAGATGTTGCAGACAAACCAGGAGGAACCAGAGGAATAGAGAGAACTTGAGTGTGTATTTCACATGCTTCCCACGTTTTGAAGCATTAGACACCGCTACCCACACCCTGGTCCCCTGTTCATTCCTTCCTGTGGCTGTACCTGCATAGTACCACAATTAATTTTGGACTATGGCATGATGTCCCACAGAGCCCATCACCTCCCCATCCATCCTCAAATCTCAGCTTGTCCTCACAGTCCCTGCCTTTGCCTTGTTACTTTCTCCTTGGCTTCCCGAAGTAGCAACCTCTGTCTCCCTCTCCCCTCTCCCCCGACCAATCCATCCCTTTTTATCTCCTCCCCAGGAATTTTACCTTGAAATCAGGAATAGCGAATTTGGTATTATAAGACAGGTTGGACTTGGAGGTTACAGTATTCATCCTCTCCAGAGCTTGCAAATTTTCCCTATCTCCAGGGGCAGAAATTAACCAAAACTCCGACATGCTTCGCGTCTTCTCTTATCCAGTGACTGCTCAGAACCAGCACAAACATACACAAACAGAAACAAGAGGAGAGATGTGTCAGATATCCCTGCCTCACCACTCCCTGCCCTCGAATTCATCCTTTCTAGGATCTCTGAGCTCCCAGGACATCCATTTGCAAAAGCAAAGTGCTTATCTCCACCTGGGAGCCCTCAGGTGTTCTTGAAACGCCAAAGCTCCTTGGCCCCTGCGGTGGTTCTGGCTGGTTTCCAGGAGCAGAGGAGGGAGAGGTTCCTTTCTGTCTCCCAACCTCGGTGAACGACCCCTGTCAGGCACCACGAAACGGGAGGACGGACACCTTCTGGGGGGAATTTTTGTCTTCTTTCCACACTGCATCTTCTGGGATGCAGGTTGGGTCGAAAAGGGCGTGGGAAGAGTGAGGGATTTTCGCAACAGGCTACCAGGTCGAACCCCAGGTCTTAACTGCCTAACCTTGTGATTGGTATTAGCTTTAAAAATAGACTTCAGAAGCATTCTTGTGATTTTTTTTTTTTTTAAGTAAGGAAAAAAAATTAGTAGGGGGTGAGAGGAGCTACTGAAGCCTTTTTTCCACTTGGCGGGCGAGGTGCCCGCTCAGCAGAGCTGGGTCCCTTGCCCGGCCTGGCCAGTGGTTTCGCGGCCGCCTCTCCGGCCTTTTCGGTGGATTCGATTCGCGCTGCCCCTTCACAGGTGTCCACACCCGCACCTTCCCCCTCGGCCGGGTCCTCCCTTCCCGCTGCCTCTCCGCCGCGTCTCCGGACGGCTGGGGGAAAGCAGGATGAGCTCTGAGGAGCCCGAGACCCCTCATGGCATCTCCTCCTTTTGGACTCTCGGTCCCACTCCAATCCGAGGGGATTTTATTCTCTCCTAACCCCGCGCAGCTCCTTTCCGCCTTGACCGCCCACGGCCCGGGGACGAACCAGTCCCGCGCAGCACCTGCGGAGATGCACCTGCTCGGACGCGGGGGAGCGCGGGAAGGCGCCCGCTGCCCACGTTCCTAGTGGGAAAGCGCGGGCAGGGGTGCAGCCGGACCGAAGAACGCCGGTTGCCTGGCCTGGTGCCTGTGTCCCCACCCCGCCCCCGCCTCGGGTCCCCATTCCACTGCCCGTCCTTACCGGGAGCCGGCGGGGCGCGGGCGGAGCGGTCGGGGCTGCGGGCGGGGGGTGCGGGGCCAGAGCGCACGGCCAGCTCCCGAGAGGCAGCGGCTTCGCGGCCCCGCGGCCCGCCCCGCCTTTTATCCCGGGCGCGGGAGGCGGCCCCGGCCCCGCAGGATATTTGCATACGGGCCGCCCGCCTCCCGCCCCTCTCCAGCCGGCTGCCCTGGACCCGGGAGCAGGTGCGGGTGCCGGGCGGGAGGGCGCGGAGGGGCCGCGCAGGGTCCCCAGTCCCCTACTTGCTCGGGCTGGGTCCCTGGGGGCTTCTGCGGCGCGTCCCATGGGGTCTCCAGCCGCACGACTGCGATGTCGCCACCCGGATGCGTGGACTGCTGAGGCGGGAAAGGGCTCAGGGACCGCTGGAGTCGGGAAAGGGCTCAGTACTTGGGACCACGCCGCCCTCCAGCTGCGGCCGCCGCAGCCCCGCCGGTCGCCCACTCTTGTCTCAAAGCGAAGGGCGCGGATCTGGGGAAATCACCTGCTCCCAGGTGTCTCCAAGCCGGTGCACGAGACAGGACCGACCTGTGGGGAGCCACGCAACAGGTTCGCAGGTGTTCAGGACACACCTGGGTAGACAGCGAAGCTTTTCTTTTCCGTGTGAGCGCGGGTGTGCGCCCGGTTGCCCAGGAAACTCCCACCTCAACCTCCCCCACCTTCTGAATTGCCCTGTGAATGGTGGGGTGATGGCGGAGGGGTGGTGGTTACAGCGCATCGCATGAGGATCAGAGGTGAGTTCTTGATCGGTGCTGTATGGAATCAGGATGGTGAACCCCCAGAAATTAACGTGTGAAAGTTAAAAACAAGACAAACCCCAAGGAAAACTGGGAGAAATTCATTTTCTCTGGACTGAAAGAGGAAGCGTTGGAGTATCCTTCCATGTGGGCGATGTTATCAGGCGTTTCTGGGAGAGATAAAGATGTCAGGAGTGTTCTCCGAGGGGCACTGAAGAAGGTGTTCTTGCTCCCTTGAAAGTGGACTCCCCCTCCTATGTGAACTAGCTGTACCTATCAGCGCATTCTTGTGAATGCATCCGGGTCTTTGGGAGAAGTATTTGACATCATCTGAGACTTAAGTTGTAATCACATAGGGTGGGACGGGAAGCCCCAGATGCAGGACAGAAAGGTGGCCTTGAGGTCACAGTGGGGTCTACTTGAAACTCCCAGCACCTGCAGCACGCATCATTGTTATTGGGACACTCGTGTGCATTAGTCAGTCCTTGCAACATCTTCCTGAGGGAGGATCCCTGAAACCAAGGGATGAGGAAACCCCAGTATGTTTGAGGACATTAAGTGGCTGTTCCAGGGAAGGAGTGGCCAGTTCGACATTAAAGTGGGGTGGTCTCCAATCTTGGACTTTATCCAGGCAAGCCGTTTTATCCAGCCAGGAAAAACATCCTAGAGCTGGGGGCAGAGCTCATTTGCAAACAAGGGTGGAGATGCCACAGAGTTGCGTGAATTGCCCAGTGTCACACAACTGGTTATGGCAGAGCTACAGTTGGAACTCGGCATGATTGAATCTTATATCCTTTCTACTGCTCCCAGCAAGCCTGCAGGACAGGTCATCACGGTGAGAAAGAAATCACGCTTTCCATGTTAGTCCACATTTTCCTGTCTGCAAGGTTCAGAGCCACGGAGCTGGCTTCTTAGAGAGCAGGCAACATATTTAGAAGTGTCTGTGACTTTGCTCATGGCACCACTTTCTATAAACCTGGTTTCCTGCAAATACTTTGTTTTGTTTTGTGAAATAAGAGAGTCAGACACAAACAACTCCTGGACAGGCCCAGTGCAGTGGCTCATGCCTATAATTCCAGCACTTTAGGAGACCCAGGAGGGTGGATCACTTGAGGTCAGGAGTTTGAGACCAGCCTGGCCAACATGGCGAAAGCCCACCTCTACTAAAAATACAAAAACTAGCCAGACATGGTGTCACCCACCTGTAGTCTCAGCTACTCTGGAGGCTGAGGCATGAGAATCGCTTGAACCGGGAGGCAGAGGTTGCGACGAGCTGAGATTGTGCCAGTGTATTCCAGCCTGGGTGATAGAGCAAGACCCTGTCTCCAAAACAAAAATAATAATAACGCCTGGACCCCATCTGATTAAGAAAATAATAAGGACCGGCCGGGCGCGGTGGCTCA